CCAGTACGCTAACGGCTGGTCCCCCAAATTAAAAAAAAAAAAAAAAGTTGAAAAAGAAAGTGAAAACATGATCCTTGCTGGGTCGCCTAGACACACAGCAGGTGTCTGTTAAGGCTGGTCATGCATAGCCACGATTCAGTAGAACTTGGATGAACAGCAGGGGGTTTATTTCCTCCGGTTCGGCTCCTCCCCAAGGCCCCCAAACCCACCATCCGCTCTTCTGGCCCCGAGCGGATCATTCCAGGGGATGATGGGTGAGGGTCGAGGTGTCGCTCACGGCTCCCTAGAGGAAGAACACGCAGGTGGACCCTGAGCACCAGGCTCTGCAGAGGGGCCGGCCCCGCGTGGGAGCTCAGTCGGCCCAGCCCTGTCGCGGCCCCCGCCTCACCATGGACACTTCGTCCATCTTCTGGAAGTTGAAAGGCCCCTGCTGGCATCTCCTCACAGCCATGATCACAGACCCGACGACCACAATAGACAGCAACACGCACACGGCCACCACCACGCCTGGGTTCCTGTGCAGCCTGCCGTCTCCGGCGCCACCGGGAGCTGGAGGAAGGGACCAGAGTCAGCCATGGACACTGGCTCTCCGAAGTCCAAGACACCCGCCAGGGCCCAGAGCCATCGAAGCCTATTTAAATGGGGCCCCGCGGACCCCCTCTCCAGCTGCTGCGGAAAACTTCTCAGAAAACACTGTGCGGGGCTCGGCAGCTGGTGTGGGGGTGCAGGTGGTGGGCTCCTCCGCACGTGAGTATGTGTGCCATTGTCACGTAATTGGTGTGACATGTGAATCACATGCTAACTAGCATGCAAATGGCATACAGGTCACGGGCATGTCATCCTCAATATGCAAACAACACGCTCGTGACATGTAACGTGTATGCAATTGACATGCAGATGGCATGTCATTATCACCATGTGAGTAACAATGACATGGGTCTTCTTGGCATGTGACTGGAATGTCATACTCTATGTGTGATTTACAAGCTACTGACACATGAGTGGCATGTGTGTCATTGGCATGTAGTTGCCATGTCGTGATTGACATGTGCGTCACGTTACTAACATGCAGACAACACACGAAACATTGCTGTGTGCTTGGCATGTCCTTGACATGTAAATATCATTCTATCAACATGTGAATGACATACATTCAGTAGATGTGTAGTTGGCATGTACTTGAAATGCCACTCTTGACATGTGATTAACATGGTATAGACATGCGAATAACATGAGAATGTCATAAATGCCATTGACATGCCATTCTCCACATGTGAATAATGCATGAATAACATGCCGTTGCCGTGTACTTGTGTCATTATCCAACATGCAAACAACATGCCAACACATGTGAATGTCACATGTGTGATTGGTGTGCAATTGACGTGTCAACACTAACATGCTTGCGCCACGCCAATGATGTGACCTTAACATGCATGTTGTTGACATGTGGTTGGCATATCACACTTGAGATGTGATTTACATGCCACTGAAAAGTTAATGGCATATTGTTGGCATATAGTTGATATTTCATGCTCAACATGTGAGGTTCATTCTAACATGTGAGTGCCATGTGTTTATGTTGTTCTCGACATGCCGATAACATGCTATCCACATGTGAGCTACATGTATGTAGCCTTTGTGTTCTTGACATGTAACACACTGCCAATGTGTAAGTACGTGTGAACGTCATGTGTGATTTTCGTGTAATTGTAATGTCATTCTCGACATGTGAATGACAAAATGACATGTGTGCCATTGTCATGTAGTTGGTGTGTCACCTCTGATGTGTGGATAACATGCTAGTGACATGCGAGTAACATAAATGTGGTTGGTGTGTATACGATGGGTCATATGAGAAGCCATAACTGACATGTGATTTAATAACTGATGTGTGAATTACACACTACTGACATGGGAACGGCATACGTGTCATTGACACGTAGTTTGCATGTGCCCAACATACGAGCTGCATGCTGACAACACATTAACTACATGTGTTTCGTTCTTTGCATGCAAATAACATGTCATGTGAATGACATGTATGTGGTTGTTGTGTACTTTTCACGTCATTCTTGACATGTGAGTATCATGCTAACTATGTGTGAATAATATGGAGATGTCATATATGTTGTTGGCATGTGAGTAAGTCCCAGAATTGGCGGCTTGCTTTCTCGCTCCCTCTTTCTCTGTATGCCTCTCTCTGGTCAAATTTAATAATACTTTTTTTATGAATAATTTTTTTGAGAGGTTTTCACTATAGGGCGCATGCACTCGCCAGAAAGACAGAGAGAGACAGAGAGACAGAAAGTGAGAAATCACCCCCCCC